ACTGAAGTACTAATACTTCACGAAAATAACAATTTTCGTGAACTATTAGTACTTAAGTATGTAAAAATTTATTACATTTCATGTTGTATGAGGGTTTACCCATTTCTCGAACCGTGTCAGAGTGAATCCGTGTTATAAAAGTACCGTGTTATACGGGGGATGGTACCAATTCTCGAACCGTGTTAGAGCGAATCCGTGCTATAGAAGTGCCGTGTTATACGGGGGTTACCTGTATTTTACTTTTCTGGATATTATATAGAACAGGGAAAGTACGGCGATCGGTCAAAAACTGACTCCCTCCAAAATTTTTACATTTTTTGGAATCGGGACCTTGAAACACCCAGATATGCAAAAATTGGAAGATTCCTGTATGGATTTTGTTCATCCATTTGGTAACTTAATAACTCGCGTGCCTTTCTTCGAAAATTTCTGTAATTTGACAGGGAAGTTCGCTTATTAGGGGGATCGATGCTATTAAATTTCGGCGGTTAAAGGTCCAGGGGATGGGAAGATGGAAGGGATAGTGTGTTAATGACGATTTTACTCGTTATTAGCATCTATAATTATCTATAAAACTTGTCTCCACCCTGAAAATTAAGCTTTTTGTTATTTTATAATAATAACTTAAATTTTTTTTACATTATTAATCTGGTAACAGATGGCGCCACGCGCAATTTTAATTGTTGCTGGAAAAAGCGCAATTCGTTGCTGCATTTTGTTATTGGTTTAATGTCGGTGTATGTTTTCAACAGTTTTACGCAAAATGCATAAAACTTTTGCGCACAGGTACACGGCAAGGTGACAGGTGGGCCATCTACCGAGGGAGGATGCCTCCCGGGGGCCCTGTAAGGGAAACAGGCCTATTTAGATGTTACAAGAGTGAAGAAAATCCGGAAAGCTCTACGTGGCCGGGCACGAACCCACGACCAACTGCCTGGTTTTTATCTGGTTAGCCGAAATTTTGGTCGGTGGCCGGAGCGCAGCCCTAGAATTAACCCACCTCTATTATAAATGACCTATTTAAAATATTTGGAAATATTCTACATTAATTACAATTTAATAAAGTACTTTAAATGCTTTTTTTTAAGCAAGGTAAGTACAACTTGTTTAAATTATCGTGTACACGAGCGTACATTGATACAGTGCTCCCGAAATTCGTGGCATTGGCACTCGAGAGAGAAACACGTACGGGCATCTCTAACTAAATATAGAATCCCGTATTTGAAATTATCTGTAACCGTAAACAAAATGGCGATATTGAGTACGTAACGTAAATATTTAAGTATAATAATCGGTATGCTATCTTTTGTAAATATTTCTTACGCAGCGTGTTTAATATAATTAACAGAAATATTTTGAAGTTGGTAATGAATAAAATTTAAATGTTTTGGTTAAAAATTAAAAAAATAATAATTACGATTCATTATCAACCATAATAATAATAATAATATATATATATATATATATATACACACACACACTGCACTATTGTTAACTCGTAATTATAGTAATATTAAAACAGTAAAATTTAATATGGAAGGTCTTATTGCAGGCAATTATGACTCCAGCCTACTGGGGGTCCTAGATCGCATCGATGACCACCCCAGGAATTTTTCGTGGGCGGTGGGTTTCATCCCTCCACTCCATTATGGGCTAGGTGGTGAGGGATGACCACCTGGCCCATAATGGAGCGTGGTGAGGGACAGCCATAACGGTGAGGGCTTTTACCATGCCATGAAGGGTATGACGAAAGGTTTACTTGGCGGAGAGTCAAAAAATGAAAAAAATAATTATAACAATTGGTACATACCAATAACTGTAAACCGTTCAATTGTTTACGACGGCTTCAGAACTTTCTGCTTGGAGTGAACACTGATACACGATTTTATATTAGTAGACAAGTGGGAAGACAGAAACAGTTCAGAAGTATTTGTTTACTTAACGATAAAGGAAATTCTTCTCTAAGTAAATTCTATAATCGCATAGTTCTAAACGGTTCCGAATTCGTTTACGAACATTCCAACACTCGGAAACGAACGCTTAAAATATTAATTGTGTGGTAAATCTTGGAAAATATTTCGTATATTGTCGATTAGAATCGTAGACTTTTAATGATATCGGGCATAAAAATCCAATGTTTCTTTTGCTATTTCTGTATAAACATCTTTTAGGCGTCGTTTAGGCTTCACGAGTAATTGACGATACGGAAAGAATTTTCTCAATTAAAATCTTATATAAACAAAATACAGTATTAAATTTATTTATGAAGCTAGTCGCATGCCAGCACCCTTTTCTAAATTCGAATTTATTAGAATTTGTGTACATTGCATAACTGTGGCATACACAGGAGTAGATATTATTTTTAAACATTTTTTCGTTAAGAAACTTTCGGTTTGGTTTCGCTTTGGTTTTATTCGTGTGGGGCAACGCGACACGTGGGCGAGCTGCGAGAGGGAGGACTTTCCGCGGTAAACTGCCCCTTTTACGTGTAACGAACGTGAAGAAAGCATCACTGGTGGGCTCCAAACTTTTGGCATTTGGTAATTCTAAATGTTTCAAATTCTTTTTCTTTGGATAATTGGGTCATGCAATGTCCCGACATCCAGAGACGCCCGGAGGGTGGACAAAAGGATCAAATTGCCCTGGGCCCTAAGAGATTTCTTTTAGGGACCTACGTAATTGTTTTTCATTACTTCCTTTAATTTAATATAATAATTTAATTTACTACAGGGCTTTCAATACGTATTTTACCTCGGGCCCGCTTACCCTATTGGCCACCATGACGACAGCTATGAGGATATTTAAATTCATAAAGTTGCAGCGTTTGGAACGAAACTTTGCTTTTAATTTTTAATATTTTTATTTAAAAAAAAGATACGAAAGTTTTTTTTTAATTATTGAAAAATTCGTATTGTTGTTTTAAATTCTTGCCGCTAGTCGGCGGTATGACTATGATTTTGAGGTTCCTGCAATGAATTATTGGAGGCCTTATCGAGCAAAGCAGATTGAAAATCAATTTTTTTTTTTCAATCCTCCTTTCTGTATATTTGAGGGCAGAGAAAACGGGACTTCAAAGGCATCACACTGCGGCTCTGAGGTACTCTAGGTCGTAGCCACCAGGAATTTACAATGAGGGCTATGTCGGGCCTAGCCAAATTTATCTCAAGCCGGGGGGAAAGGCTCTCTTAGTGTTGGGCAGGTTTTCTTCACGCGTCTAACGCCAAATCGGGGCCAGTTTTCCCATAGAAATCCACAAGGGAGGCAGTTGCTGCTTTGTCTCATCCTACACAACAGCAAATTTTTCTCGAAAAATCATTAAACGAATTTTATGATTTTGTAAGATGGTTAACTAAATATGGAGATGCGTTAACTAAGCATCACCATATTTAGTTAATCACACACCACATTTGCATTCGGGAAGCTTCTGAAAACGGGACGACACCTCGCCACATCCTGCAATTATGGCAACTTCGTGGAAGAAAGCTAAACGTTGTAGCCACTAGTGAAAGGAAACTGCATATTATTATTTTTTTCTGTGAAGAATTAGTAAAACAAAGATACACAACATATTTTAACAGGTAATTTTTTAAATTTTTAGTTATTATATACCTATATATAACAGTTATTATTTTACTTCTTTATATATAAACAGGGGCGAGTTATCCTACGGGCAAAAACGGCAATTGCCAGGGCCCCCAACAACTGGGGATGCCAAGCCAATCTTTTATAATAAAGTATTTCTCCAAAAAATTCCCCCCCCCCGAAGTCTGTAAAGTCAACACTATACACGGGCCCCTAATTCAAATTTGCCTGGGACCCACGGAGCTGTAACACGTCGCTGTATACAACTCCATAGCACGGAATGATTCTTTTTCCATTTCTGACTGTTCACCCTGTGAGCACTAAAGAGGCCATTTTTAGCCACGAGTTCGGCCAAGCCCACAATGAAAAGGCCGAGAACCCCCGATTTTCCGAAAAAAAAGTTAAATAAACCATATCCAAACAACGGTCACTGCCAATAATGATGATTAAAAAATTTCAAAAATTATCATTTTCTGCAGTTGATGATTAAAAAATTTCAAAAATTATCATTTTCTGCAGAGAACACTTTTTCTTTGTTATTATTATTATTTCAGCATTGGCTATAATAAAAATTATCCGTTTTCTGATTATTTTTTCGTCCCACCAGTGGCCAAGCTGTTCCGTTCCGTAAACACTGGGAGTTTGGTTGTGTATTCGCGCCTTGGCAGAAAGGGCTGGCCACGTGGAGTTTTTCGGGTTTCCTCCACGTCTGTAACGCCTGAATAGTGGCTAGTTACCCTTAAAAAGACCTCCCGGAAGGCATCCCCCTAGGCAGATCGCCCAAGTATTACGTTGCCATAACTTAAACCAACCAACCTGATTATTTTTTTCAAATAATGAAATAACTTTGGCCATGGGCTAACGTTTATACTGGATTATTTTTCAATGCAATACAATATTCTTCCTTTTCATTATTGTATACAAATAATACTGAACTGTTTTAAATTAAAATTTAAAAAAATAATATTCATTTTAACTTTACAAATTTGAGAACGTCATCGCCTGAAACCTTATACAGTCTTAAGCAATAACACAAAGGAAGTTTAACTCCTACATCACTTGTTTTATTACAAGGCGATGTAAAAAATCCTACTACTGCCGGTTTGATTTTCTCAAATTCCATGACAAATGATAAGATTTCCTCAAATTATTCCTTCTCCTTCGATCAAACAACGTTTTCTTTCCTCTATGTACAAAATTATTTCGTTCGGTAACTTTGATTGGCGTAAATTCTCCCGGTACAGTGTATCAATGAGCTTTTTTTTCTTCTTCTTCCTCTTTCCGCCGTGTGGGCACTAGGAAGTCCTCTTAGGGCAGGCCCATTATGGGTTCGGCCAGGCCCACAATGGGGTGCCCGGGTGGTGAGGGACGGGGCCCGACATATCCGAATGGACCACTCCCCGAAAAATTCCTGGGGAATTTTTTGACCCGTCCGAATTTGATCCCGGGTCCCACAGAGCGGTGGGCTGCCACCTTGACCGCTTAGCCATCGGCCGTCCTGTACCAATGAGCTAGAATATAACTACATAGTGTGGCTGAAGCTACGCCTGTTTGAGGAAAATTGAATACACGTCCGCCATTTTCTTTTTAGTCAAGGGGCGTGGCATTTGTGTTGTGTAAAGACAATCAGCTAAAATATTTACAGCTGGTTGTCTTTACACAACCATAATTTACACATTTAATTACAGCGCTCTTAAAGGCAACGACATGTACTCTTCGATAGTACATGTAGTGTCTTTAAGAGCGCTGTAACCATAGTCACAGCCACTCTATGTGGTATATTCTAGCTCGTTGCAGTATACCCATAAGAAAGGCCATATTTTGAGATTGTGCCGCGATTGGCACGTCATCTGTAAAACGTTAAAGTAGTGAACAAAACGCCCCGCGTGAAACGTAGTGTATTGTTTGTTTGCTTACTTATTTACAATTAACAATGGTTAAGTTTTATATAGAATCATATAGACTTTTTTTCTTTTATGACATAAATTTTGAATTTTTGCTTTAATTTTATGTTTTGAATGATATTAAGAAGTACAGTATATGTTATAAATACTATATGCAACCGGTGTACCACAGGACGCTAGTATTCTCCGAATCTGCCTTAAGTGTTCCGCGAAAATTCGAGTGCGTTTGTTTACTGGAAGACTATGGATATCCGCAACTAAAAAAAAAACTGTTATTTGAAATATACTGGTTTATTTTTATAATTAATACAATGCGTGGTTGGTTTACTACTAAACTTCTCATGCCTTAATTATAAATTATCTTACAAATATTTTATACATATATACTCGCGTAATAACGTTTAACAGATAAATTAAAACCTGCAATTGCGATTAGTTGGTTTGGTGTATTTGTACACATGTGCGATCTGTTGAAGGAGAATGCCTCCTGGGAGGACTTTCTGTGGGAAATAGCCCGTTTCGGTGTTAGATGCGTAAAGAAAACCCGAGGGCCCGGGATCCAAACAGATCAAAATATCTCAGGAATTTTTCGGGGTTGGTCTGTCCCGGATATTTCGGGCCCCATCCATCACCGCCACGACGCTCTACTGTAGGCTTTCCCGAACACACGCTGGGCCCTGAATATGCCCTTCTTAGTGCTTACAGCGCAGAAGTAATAAGTTATCTACCTGTCATAATACATGCGGCGTTATCAGATTCCGATTTAGAAAGGTTTCTACCTCTGTGCATAAACAAACATATATATATATATAAAACGTGATTACAAACAAATGATACTGATGATACTGCTGCTAATAGTGGTGGTTGTGTTATAAATATCAATACTACTAACACATTTCAAATTACTTCATGTAAGATTAGTGGATTGCATTAAAATGAAAACCGCATACTGTGACAGCGTTCGTTATTTTTACCTGTTTGTTGCAAATTGTTAAAATTATAATTAGCAATGACGCGAAAAAAAATCAAGATTCTTCTTGCTCATAGCATAAATTGTAAGAATAAATGACAAAGCACGTTATACTGAGGTAAAGGTTTCCAACAAACTTTTCAATGCTATTTTGCATTACAAATTAACGAATTCATTGTCATTAGTGGGAAAGAGCGACCGGGTGGCCGAGCGGTCAAGGTGACAACCTATCGCTCTGGGGAACCTGGAATCGAATCCGGACGGGTCGAAAAAATACGGCTGCCCCATTGTGAGCCTGGCCTAACCCATAATGGGCTTGCTAAAAAGGCCCTCTCAGTGACCACAATGCGGAAAGACTAAAAAAAGAATGACAATTTTATTAATGAAACTTGAGCTTTTAATGGAACTTGAGCTATTAATGAAAATTAAGCTTTTCGCCATTTTATAATAATAATAATACAGGTAACCCCCGTATAACACGGTAGTAACTACCGTGTTATACGGGTTCCAAAAAATTGCCGTGTTATGCGAATCCGTGTTATACGAAACAAGGAACTAATACGAAAAGGAGGGTTAGGTGCCAAAAATTAAAAAAACATGATGGTATATTTTCATAATTAAGATAAATATCTTCATTAAAATTTTTAAGTGATACATATTAATATAAATTAAACAATATTTTCTTCGTCATTACTAAAAACACTATTAATTAACCGAGAGCGTTTCTTTTTGGCAAGTTATCCTTATCCTCTGAGCATTTTTCTGCATTATCTTCAGACTCATGCTTTACCTTTTGCAAAATGTATGTAATTTTAGATTGCTTGCTTCTAGTTAAAAGGTCTTTATAAATTTCCTTATATGGTGCTAAGTACTTATGAAGAATAAAGCAAGTAT